CGCTTAAACTTTAAGATTTTCTGTCGGAATCAAAAGTTAGCGTTTATTCAATTTTCTCAAATTGGTTATTAATGAATCGGAAAGTTTCAATCGAATTATGTTTTTGAATATGGAAAAGACCTAAGGCGGTATATTAGCTTTCTATAAAACGCAATAAATGAAAATTTTCAGCTCTAATGTTTTTGCCATTTAAGTTCACTGACATTCTTTCAAATATCTTCTAGCTATGTCGCTCAATTCTAAGCCTTTGAAAATTTCTTCAAAAGTCAGAATCCAACCTGTATTAGCTCAAACTTTTACTCTATTTGAACATTTGTTCAGAGAAGACAGTAAAAACAGTTTCGACAATTACAACAGTAGGTTTTAAAAATAAACATAAAATTTGAAATCACTTTGAAATCACATATAATTTCAAATGCATTTCTAAACTTTTTGCTGGTGTAAGAAGCTCGCTATTCTAAAACCATTAGTAACCAAATTTTTTAAAAAAATACTCTGCCGGACACAAAAAATTGGATGTTGATTTGGACATTGTCCAATTGAAAAAATTGTTTATTGTAGTGTAATTAAATCATGTAGTGCAGTTCAATGCGAAATCAAACCAGAACATACACAAAACAACGTCTCAAACAAAAATTGAACCTCACTTGTATTTACAGAAACAAAGCCAATCAAAAATTTCACAGCAAACTTCGTAGTTTCTTTTTACAAATTACAAATACATGCTGGAATTAAACTAACGCATTGCAGTCAACTGGCATGGAATCAGTAGCGGATTTAGGGGGAGTTCGAATTTTACCATATGTATTTTGTAATTGGCACCAGAAATCCATGAAACTTTGGTAGACTGAAGTCTAGCATGAAATGAATACCAACAAAAAAATGTCAAATTTTTTATTGCAGACTTTCTAAAAATTAGTGAACAATTTTTTAATAGTTGCTTAGTTTTTCAGTTTTTCGTAGCCAGCATTCTTAATCTTCTAGAAAATTTACCTTGCTTAAGTGAGGGAGAAAATCACAGAAAAATGAGTTTCATATGAATAACAAGATCTTCAAACCCATTTATTAGATCAAATTACTGTGTTAAACAGCCGTTTTGAACCAAAGTTAGCGTTTAATTTTAATTTTTTTTAAACCTTCAGCCCAATAGCTAACTGTTAATTACTGAAAGTTTCACTAAAGAAGCGCTAAGTTTCGGTTAGGGTTCAATAATATTTTTTCGACTCTGAATCATTTTGGGTTTTTGCATAGATTTGATTGAAAGACGTCTTTAAGCAATATGATGGCGTTAAAACTAAGTATTCCAATTGTACTATTTCTTTTATGAATTAGATTCAGATCTTGGTAACTTTTTCCAAAGCAAACCTTGCGAGAAAACTACAATTTTTATTTGTGAAAGATATATTATATTTTTAACAAGGTAATGGTTTCAGGTAATCTCAACTGTTGGTTTTGTGCTTTTGATGCTTGAAAAAATTTAAAAGAAATTATACGGAAACCGAAAACAAAATACCTAAATTCGAGTCCCAAAATTCGTATGTTAGTCAAACTTCTTTTGTTCTTAATTTTTTGTTCTTTTTTGGCAAATAAGTGAAAAACAAACGTCAGATATGTCAGTTAGCGTTTTGACCAAACTGTGGATGGAATTTAAATTTAGTAAATGAATTCACAATATTTTTCACCCTTTGTTTAAATTCACTCAAATTCTAGGCTTCAATTTTTTCTAAATAAAACAGAAGTAAAAACCAATAAACGTCATTTTAGAAAAAAAATGCACCACCATTTTTGTAAAGACGCCATATGATATTTTGTTTGTTTGATCATCAAGCTACTTTTTTTTCATTATAACTCAAATTTTGTGCCAAAAGCAATCAATTTTTTTTATATGGAAAAAATTAGCTGTTTTTAGCTAGGGCAAGTCTTCGCAATTTTTTTAATTGAAAACATTGTGTGACGATTCATAGCAAAAATATGATCGATAACGCTACTGTGAAAAGCTGAATGAGTAAAACTTTGAGTCTGCATAATTTCTTGAGTGATGCGCGCCAATTATGAGTCTACATAAATGCTAAGTGACTCAAGTCAATTATGACGCGTTAGCAGTACCAGTCAAATTGAAAAGGAAATTTACCGACAAACACGCCTCAATTTATAGAGCGGACGCATTCTAACTAGTATACGAAAAATTTCATTAAAAACAACCAATCCTGCGTAATATGCAAGCCTGCTTTAAAACTCTTAACATTGGTTTTATTTAATAGCTGGTTATTTGTCTTAGGCACATACTGCAATATAAGAAAATTTTCAAAGTTAACACTAATATTTGCCATTGAGCTTGGAAAAAAAAAGAGTTCATAGTATCACACAAACTTTGCTTGTGTAATAAGGCGATAAAAAGGTGGATAAATGCTAATTATTAGAAAACGGGAAGTACTCACTATTCAAAACAATCTCTTATAACTAAAAGAACAAAAAGTAGGCCGATTGGACGAAAAACTTCCGACAGTAAAAAAACTTAATTGAATAGTATTTGTAGATACCAAATACATTAAGCTTCCAAATTTAAACATTAAGTTTCCAATAGCTTTGACGGTTCTACGCTGAAAAATAAAAAAAGAGTTGTGATTTTGATTCTGCAGTTATCATAGAAAAATCAAACCGAAAAAATCGAAACTGCAACCCAATAAATATATTTACAAAGTAAATTCATTTGGAAGACAACAAAAATACTTTGAAGATTTGGATTTTGAAATAGTTTCACGTATACGACTGAGTTTTGATCAGCTTAAAAGTTGAACTTCCGCGGAGTCTCGTCTGCAAGTTTTAAAATGAATCTTAATTATGAAAATAATCAAGTTTTAAGGAAATCGAAGAAACAAACGATGTTTTTTTTTAATTTTTCGTATTCGTCTCAAAATACATCTGAGCCATTTATGGTTGTCAAGAGTGTTTCGCAGTCACTTTTTTTGATAAAACAATCCAACTAGAGCAGATTTCATCAAAATATATGTATCACACTTCTGCTAGGAAATTAAAAACGCCATCGACAATGAAATAATTTTTTCGAGTCGTCTATTTTTTTTATTGGAGAGCGTTTATTCCTCCCATAAAGTAAAAAAAAATTGCTTTGAAAATAATCAAGTTTTAAGGAAATCGAAGAAACGAACGATGTTTTTTTTTTAATTTCTCGTATTCATCTCAAAATACATCTGAGCCATTTATGGTTGTCAAGAGTGTTTCGCAGTCACTTTTTTGATAAAACAATTCAACTAGAGCAGAATTCATCAAAATATATGTATCACACTTCTGCTAGGAAATTAAAAACGCCATCGACAATGAAATAATTTTTTCGAGTCTTCTATTTTTTTTATTGGAGAGCGTTTATTCCTCCCATAAAGTAAATAAAATTGCTATGAAAATAATCAAGTTTTAAGGAAATCGAAGAAACGAACGATGTTTTTTTTTAATTTCTCGTATTCATCTCAAAATACATCTGAGCCATTTATGGTTGTCAAGAGTGTTTCGCAGTCACTTTTTTTGATAAAACAATCCAACTAGAGCAGAATTCATCAAAATATATGTATCACACTTCTGCTAGGAAATTAAAAACGCCATCGACAATGAAATAATTTTTTCGAGTCTTCTATTTTTTTTTATTGGAGAGCGTTTCTTCCTTCCATAAGTAAATAAAATTGCTATGAAAATAATCAAGTTTCAAGGAAATCGAAGAAACGAACGATGTTTTTTTTTAATTTCTCGTATTCATCTCAAAATACATCTGAGCCATTTATGGTTGTCAAGAGTGTTTCGCAGTCACTTTTTTTGATAAAACAATCCAACTAGAGCAGAATTCATCAAAATATTCGTATCACACTTTTGCTAGGAAATTAAAAACGCCATCGACAATGAAATAATTTTTTCGAGTGTTCTATTTTTTTTATTGGAGAGCGTTTATTCCTCCCATAAAGTAAAAAAAATTGCAAGCTATTCAAAAAGATAAAATCAATTTGACGAAACATTGGGTGAATAAATTCCAACTTATAACATAGCCAACATACGGTTGAAAAAAAAACTAAATGAACGCAAAGAATAAAAAAAAATAAGTTAGTAATTCAAAGAAAATTATATCTGCTCGAAGTTAATTAAATTTCATTAACTATTTATGGTTGACACCTATTTGATTAATGCAACCCACTTTGAAACTGGATACCTGGATGATTTTCTTCCGCTGCAAAATCCCCTTGTAAAATGCTCTAATTGATGGTGGTGTTTGCCTTCCTTTTAACATAGGATAGAAACATAAAAAGAATTCAAAGGTAAGAGAGCGAAAAAGTAAATTTCAGCCAGAACAAATTGCAAGATTTTTCCTGAAAAAAAACACCGGACCTTTATGAGTATGAGCTACATTCAGGGACTCTTAATTGCATGCATAAAACTGAATATCGATTGCAATTTTTGTTCCATTTCAATTTTTTATATAAATATTCGAGAGCGTAACTTGCCTTCCTTTTACCGACTGAAGATGAATAAAAGTTGAAAAAGTCAATGAAGAACAATGTGATGCATTAAGCCAGGCAAAAAACCAAAAAAAAATCAGTTAAATTTCCGAAAGTTGGTGATAAAAGCAAATCGAATTTGGAACAAGCTTAATATTTTTTAAACTCTGATGGGGGTTGTAAGTTGCTAACATTGTTGCTATTCATATTCTGATTTGATAAACGTCAATTTTGTTAAGGAGAGCGACAAAGCGTTAAGCTGTTTTAAAGAGCTATAATATAAAGCTTTGAGAAAGTTTGTTTTTACAAAGATTTGAAGATAAGTTTAAATGATTAGACTTAAACCCTATCTTTTTGAAAGAAAATTTAAGTTTAAGGTATGACCTACCTACATTCATCGGTGTTCAAACTATCACCTAATCGAATTGACGAACTTAGAAAACCTTCCGATTTAGGCTCTAGTTTGAAATATACAGATTTACTCCCGAATTTTGAGAGGAAAAATACGCTACTAAGCTTTATTGAATTCGTTTTGCAGCCAAAATAAACATATCAAGATCAACAGCAATCAACATCAAATTCAGAAAAGAATGCAATATAATAAATACGTCAAACTGTCTCTCATATTTTTATTCAGGTCTGAGACATAAATTTCAACAGGCCAATATGTGAGCTCAAGTTTTTAGCCCAGAACAAAAAAATCTCAATTGAAGCTTCTCAATATGTATAGTTTTGAATATTAGTTCAAAAACGTTGTCTTGTGCTGAGGAAAAATAAAAAGTAAATCTACACTCGTTTCAAAATGAAAAAAGTTTTAAATCGTCTTAAGACCCGCATATTTTGTTTTCTATTAACCAACATATTGGCTTGTTCAGAAAAACACTTCCATCATTACAGCACAGCAAACTGTTGGTACAAAAGTTCTCTCACTTTATAATAATCTTCACAAAGACATCCTTCAATCGAAATATGCCCGCTTTTTAGTCTTTTAACGGCCACTCTGTTATTAACAACTAAAACGCCCATTATAAACTCGGCCGGTAATCCATGTTTAGTTAATATCATTTTAAACTCGTTCAGTCGAACTTCATTCACAAAAACTGTATCGTGTGAAGATAGTTCAACAAGTGAGTCATGTTTGCTGGATTCAGGTTGCACTTTTTGTAAGAGAGGGATTTTGGAACTGGAGCCTGAGCCGGTTAAGTCCAATTGGTTGTGGCCATCTTGAAACTCTTTCTCAACTTCGTTTGAAATGATTCCGTCCACCCAAGTGAGTTCAATGCCTAAAAATTTTTGAAATAAAGTAATTATTTGTAACTTATTTTCAGAAATGTGTACTTTTTTTCAACAATAACATAAAAACAAAAACGAAACTTTTAAGTGAAAAAAAAATTCTGATTCTATATTTAGGATCTGATCTAACTCGCCTTAATTAATTTCACAAAATTTCTAAGAGGAGGGGGCGTCTCATCTTACAGAAGACAATATTTGCACCAATTTCTCTCAAATTCTCGGCTTTAACATTTCGTGAGCTCAACAATGCATGATGCTTTCAGGGTAAGGTTGTGGTCCGTTTTTTATTAACAGCACTATATTATTAGCTTAATTTCAAAATTTATCGAAATCTTTGAGAGAAAGCTTAGATCCATCTCAAATATATGTAAACCATCCACGGCTGAAGTAATTAATTCAACTAACAAAAAACATACATATTTGTTTTTGAGTGAACGACGAATTCCAGCTATGGATGATTTTATATTAAGTTAAGATGGATCTAAGAGGTGCCATTTCGTGGTTAGAAAATTTTTGAAAGCAAAAGCCTTCTGGTTAGAAAATAGTCCAAAGCAAAACTACAATATTGCTTGAAGCAGAATCTACAGCATCAAGGATACTAAGGATACCAAGAGAGGTCACTGCCGTACCTTTGACTTTGTTCCAATCCAGTCCAGCCATGAGGTTGTCAGTCAATTTCACCTGGTAGATGAAACTCTCCAGCGTAGCGTCCACTGTCTCATTGTACTTCGGCACGAGGGCACTCAACTCAACCTAAACACATTAATAGCAAACACAATAACAAAGAACGAAAGGCACCAATGATTTATCCCATTGGTATTGAATTTAGTCCATCGACTTCTACTGATAGCCCGGGTTGATCTCCATAGACCAAAAATGCTAGTCACACACTTTCATTAACCAAGTCTATAAAAAATTGCTGAACATACAATTATCATACATTTTTGCCGGTCATAGTATGGTCATAATTAAAAGAAAATTTTCGGCAAAAAAAAACTTACATACAATTTCCATTTGCCAAGTCGGTGTATCATCATAATTAAAAAAAGGAAAATTTTTGGCAAAAAATACCTATCATACAATTTTCATAAATGGAAAATGCGTGACTAGCAATTTTTGCTGGATACACCAAAAAAATAAAGTCAGTTCAAAATTACCCCAAAAAATAGTTTTTTTTTTCCAGCGCAAAACAAATTTTGTACTCAAACAAGCATTTTCTATTTTCCGTTTCTCTGGATTATTTTTTTTTTCAAAAACGCTCTGAAAATTTCTTCATTATATATTGCAAATTTGGGTATACCCTGGTCCATACATGGTTGATTAAAATTTCGAATTCAAGAAAATTAAGATTTTTGAAGCATTCTACCAAACTTAAGACGTTTGCTGCTTTCATTATATCATTTGTGTAATACATCTGTTTTCAGGTTGTTTCCAATGCATTGTACATTTCAGACCTTTAGTGATTCTAAAAAATGAGTTTCCAGGGTCTTTATCACTTGTGTTCGGTTACGAACACAACCCAAAACTTTTGAAAAGAACTCAATTTAAAAAAAAATTAAGTTTATGTAAAAATGCTCAAGATAAAATTTCCATGTATGAAAAAAATCAGTAATCAGAGACCCTTCAATTAATTTTCTTTTCGTATGGAAATGCATGAAAAGTTTCATTTTTTCATATATTAACATAGCCAACAGACAGTTACAAAAGAGTCAATGATAGCAAAGAGAAAAAAAAATTACTTAACTTTTGAAAAAAATCTAAACTTATGAACTTTAAAAAAAATAGATGCACTTAAAACTCTTTATGACTGAATCCAATTTGAGAAAATTGGATCAATATGTAAATTTTTTATTACGCTGGGAAATCTGAAAATTGAATCTGAAACTCTCGAAACTAGAAGTCGATCACTTTTTTGTCAGCTTTACACTTCTGCAGTTCGATGTTGAAGTTTGCCTTCCTTTTAACAAACCAAATAAACTGAACTTGAAAATAAATCATAAGTCAAACTACGAAAGGTAAAATTGAGCCTGAACAAATTTAAAGACTTTTCCTGAAAAAAAGCAAAAAAACATCACTCCCTTTTTAAGAGTCTGAATTACGACTAGCATTTTTGATCATCCCAGGAAAACAACTCAGCGCAGTATTAATTAGAGATGAAGGATTCAAAGCGGCTAATTGTCAATTCAATTCAATTATAGAATTCAGCAAAAAAAAAAAATCAAAAATTTTTTGTTCAAATTTTGTTCATTACAATTTCTGGGTTTCTTTCCGCATTAGTTTATACACAGCACATTTTTTTTCAGTTTAAAAACAACGTGATCCGAATGACAACAATGAATTGAATTTTGAAAATGATAACCGACTAGAATTTAATCAATTTCAGTTATCTTAAAGTCAATTGATTGCATTGCTATTTTAAATGCACCGCATATGTGCTTCACTCGCTCGATATTAGACTAAAAATCAAAAAATGCCAACCAGTTTTTCTCGACACTGGAAGTCTTTTAAATGATATATCACTCGAAGGACTCAAACAAATATTTTGGGTGCCTAATTTTGTGTGATAAACAAAAACATAGCCAAAAGACAGTTCGAATAGAGACAGTGAACGCAAGTAAACAGAAAAATAGGGACTATATTTTTTCAAATCTCAAAGAAAAAAATAGATGCCCTTAAAGCTCTTTGCATTTCTAGAACAATTTAAATAAACATTTTTTTGATAAAATTAACCCAATTTGAGAAACCTGGATTAATAGGTAAAATTTTTAATTCGCTGGGAAATTCGATATTTAACATCGACTTTCGAAACCAGAAGTCGATCACGTTTTACGTGACCTTTACAATTTTCATTTTCGATACTAAAGTTTGTATTCCTGTTGACAAAATAAATAAACCGAACTAAAAAAAAGAAATCAGAAGTCAAACCGCAAAAAAAATCTAAATTGAGCGTGAAAAAAAAACTTAAAAAAATCACCAAGACCTACATAAGTATACTCACTACGTTCATTACTCTTAAAAAATCTAACAAAATATAGGGAAAGAAAGAAATAAACACCTTAGCGTCATTGATGCAGTAGTCGACCACTGCCTTCGCACTGGCATCTGAACTTCTGACTAGAATGAGTTGTTTGGGTTTGCAGTGGGCGATGATCTTCTTGACTGAGTCTCCGTCACTTCTGCCCTCGTAGTCTATGAAGGCCAATTTACACTTGATCTTCAGACTTCTCTTTTCTATCACACATTTGGTGGGTCGCTCCTCCGAACTGGTCAAGTCCACTACCTATGAAAAAAATGATGAGACCACATTTGATAATCTATCCTCGTTATTAGTTAAACTTGAAACATTATTTCAAATTAGTGATTTATACAGGGAGCCGCTAAATTCATAAGTTAATTCAAATTATCGAAAATGAAAATTGTCAATTCGAACTGGTCAAGTGTATTACCTGAATCAAAATGTGTTCGATTAGGTATCTTCATAAACTTTAAAATTTTGCAAGTGATTTTTTGCCAGAAATGATTTTTTTGCTTCTTTTCACTTTGATTTTTTCAATATCACCTTTTTTCTTTGCTTTTTTCAACATCAGCTAAAAATTTTTGATGATTTCACACAATTCCTATTATTTCAATTTATAGCCGCGCTTTCTAGTTGACAGTGGTACTGAAAATTGAACAATTTATGCATTTTTCGGTTTCCTTTTGCTTGACTTATCCAAATGCGTTTTGGTAGAATCCAAAAAAATACCCGCACAGAAATCTGCCATGGAGATCATTAATAATTTCTTAACAGCTCTTGTCAGTGGCCTCTTATTTTTTATCTATCACAGAGCTTTTCTCCATTACCTCAGTTGGTTGCTGACTCTGCTGTTTCAGTTGCTGTCTGTTCTGTCTGTCTCCTCTCTCTTTGGCCACCAAGTCTGGATCTGTGAACATGTCTGGATCTATCGGCTCCCCATAGTCATCCCATTTCAACACTCGGTCTCTAAACAGGAGCCGAAGTTAGGGGAGCGGTGGTGAAGTGGTTACGTCTCCGCCTCTCACTCGAAAGGTCGGATGTTCGAGGCCCACCATGATCCGTGCTCGTTGCTTGAGGGTGAAGCAACATTACCCAGCCCAGAAAAATAACAAAAAAAAAATAATAATTGCATGTAGTTCTTAAACAGGAGCACAACAGCGGTACGCCGTGATGAGCTGTACAGCTCTTGTGTTGGTCCTTTCCCCCGTGGATAAATCATCTTAATTAATTAAGTGATGTTACTTATAACACTCCTTGTTTTCTTATTTAAACAACTCCTTCTTAAACATCGTTTTAGCAGAATTCCGATTGTGTGGCTTTCTTTCGATGTTTATTTTCCGAAATTATTGAAAACTTTCAAAAAGAGTTAGCATTTATTTGATGAAAATATTACTGAAATAATTTTAAATTCTAAAATTTCGTCCTTTTAATATGAAATAATAATATTTTTCATGCCTTTATGGGACGAAGTATTGCTTATTAAATAAACATAGTCAACATACAAATTGAAAAGTATAATAGAACTCAAAGAAACTGAACAAAACTTAAATGAAAACTTCGAAGAAAAAATGAATCACGCTTTTTATACCATTTAGAAAAAAAACTGGATCAATTAATAACTTTTTCATTTTGCTTTGAGCATATCAATCAAAAATCCAAAAACATTTTGCTATATTCCCTCCATAAAAATCCATAGTAATCCACGACTCTTTGGCTATCCTAAATTGTGTATATGACATATTTCAGCATATCATATCAGCGTATATTAACTTATAGTTCAAACCTGTGTGGGAACATGACGGGTGCGCGTTTGGTGGGTTTAAACACGCTTGGCTTGTTGCAGTCGGTGTCCACGAAGAAGTCGCGAGGTCTAAAAACAGGAGTTGGTCACATCAGAATATTGAAGAACATAGCCAACTGACAGTTGGAAAAGAGTAATGAACGCAAGGAAATTGAAAAAAAAACCGACTTGTTTTTTCAAAAATCTGCAACTTTTGAATTTCGAATAAAATGCTCTTTGAATTTGTAGAACAATTTATGATTGACACTTTTTGTTAACCCAATTTGAGAAAACTGGATCAATAGGTAAAACTTTTATTTCGCTGGGAAATCTGATAATTATTTTCCATTTTCAAAATTAGAAGTCCATCGCGTTTTTCGTGACCTTTCCACTTTTGCTGTTCAATAGTGGAGTTTGCCTTCCTTTAAACAATAGAAATGCACTGACCTTAAAAAGAAATCACAAATCAAATCGCGAAAAATCAAAATTGAGCATGAACAAATTTTAAGACTTTTTCCTGTAAAAAAAAACAACAAGACCTATAAAAGAGTTTTCACTACGTGCATTACTCTTAATAACCTTGATATTTAATAGTATAAGTTTGGTTTAAAAATAAGGTTATCTACGAGTTCTCCCCTCGAAACCATATTTTGCTTAGAATATTTAACCTGTAACTTCTGTACTAGCGATAGTCATTTTACAAGAGTAGCAAAAAATCAGCGAAGAGTTTTACCACGTTAATCTAGCTCATGTTTAATATCTCGCGACAAAAATCCTGCAACAAAATGGGAAAATTCCAGTTTTTTTATGTAGTTAAATTAAAAAAACTGCTTTTTAAACCGTTAAATAAGTTACAGCGATCACTTTTTTTATTTTTTTTTTTCATGTAAACAATATTTCAATTACAACTTTTAATCTAAAAAATTTCTGACTCAACATAATTTGAAAAAACAGAATTTCACACAGAAATTAGTTTTCAAATTATTACATGCCAACTGCATGCGGGACCTCTCTATCATAGTAGTAACCTAGCAAGAAAACGACAAAAAAAAAACAAGTTAATAAAGTGAAATAAGAAAAAGGAGAAATACGACCCAGATGCTACGAAAATTACAATGCTTTAGATCGTGATTATATAAATCGTGCCCCCATATGTGAGTAAGCTTCAAAAAAAGTAAAGTTTAACTAATACACTACGCTCGCCAGTGTAAACAACGATATATCTGAACGTGAATACAAAAATCGACTTAGCGGCAGTTTAAATCAGTCGTTACACGGTACAAATTTTGCATATATTTAGTAGAATTATAAGTTCTTTATATGGTCAATCTTCAGTCGGTACAAACGGGGAGAAATAATTAACGGGATCCGGTGTGAATTACAAGTATGAAAAAAAAAATCTGTGGTCTCTTGCCTATTTTTCCACAGTTTCTCCATCAGCATCTCTTCGTTCTCCTCATCACTAGATGAGTCACCCCCTGCTGCCCCTCCCCCCACCCCCCTCTTCAGCCCTCCCACCACCTCGTCCTCCTCATCTTCGTCTTCAGTGTCCATTACAATGTCACCTTTAAGCAAAAAATGGATAAGCAGTAGATTAACTTAAAAGACCGTGCGTCTATGATTATCTATACTCACATGATTAGTTGAGTGATTTAAAACGATTTTGAGTACCTCTTGAAACAAGCAGAATTTCAGCGATTTCAATTTTTCGACAAACTCTTTCCAACAGACAAGCACGGTTGGGTGACTTATAACAAGCACTGTCAAGTCATTTCACACAAAACCCCTTGAAATTCTATAGACAAAGCCCCCTTATGTTTTAATTGACAGAGGAATTGTTCAACTAATATGTCAGTTTTGAATTTTTGACAGCTACATAACAATGCAGACTGTTTCTGACCTTACTGAGGTCTATTACCATACGCGAAGCACCGAATGCGCAAAAATTCCCATCAAATCAATGCCTTAAACTTTCCCAAAAAGCCGACTGATTTTACCGCGTATGTGTGAATTAGGAAATCTGATTGGCTGATAAAATTTTCGTACATTCGGCTTTTCGCACATGAGAGGTTCACCCGAACTTACCACCTAGAGTGTTGATAACTTCCTTCACTTCTTTCTTGGGTCTCTTTTTTCCATCTCTGTCCTGTTTAGCCTCTGCCTCATGTTGCTATTTAACACACACAAACACACATAAAGTACATTACAGAGATATTTCTACATTTGTTTGTACAATAACCTCGCCTGAAAACATTTTATAAGTACAATTGCTCCGACTATCGACGAAAGTGAGGAAAAATATATAGTAGAACATTTTCAGCACCCAAATTTTTTCCGAATTAAAAAAATTGCCAACAGACAGTTGGAAAAAATTACAAGAACAAGTAAACAAGAAAGAAAGTTGAGATAAGCTTTTTTTGAACTATTTCCACTTTCCACAGAAAACAATATAACAAGTTAAAGCTCTTCAAGTTTAAAATTCTGTTCCTGATTGGTTATCCAAATGAGAGAAAACTGGATCATATTTTGCCATTCCACTGGGAATTCCGAAATTTAAACTCCATTTTTGGAACTAGAAGTCAATCATGTTTTTCGTGACCTTTTCACTTTTGCAGTTCGATAGTGGAGTTTGCATTCTTTTAACCAGAAAAAAATCAATAAGTCAAATCAAAATGAAGCCTGAACATAATTTAACTGTTTCCGAAAAAAAATAATCGAGACATATTTAAGTGAAAACCACTTCTTTCTCTTACACCTAATAAGATAAATATTTGAGTCAAATTTGAACACTTAAAAATTGCTATTGACGGTCCAAAATTCATATTTTATCAAAATTTTCTTTATCACAAATTATTGCAGTTTTGTTAGATTGTCCATTAAGTTTACGCTAATGAGTGATGTCTGGGCCTGATGGAAATCAAAATGATCAAAATCATCATTACACTTTCACTCCGTCATCTTATTAAGGTACTCTGAGCTATGATTACTGAAAACCCCACCTCGCAAACTGCAGCGTACATGCGATTTAAATCCGCAATAAAACTAGTCCAGGGCACCATCACTACCAATGCAATAAAACGCCACGATGAATTTTTAAGTATTAAGTAGTTCTTTGGCTAAAAACCTATGCTAAATCAGCTGAATTATAAGTGAAAAGATAATAAATTAACCATTTTTTTCAAAGCCAACGCTTGAAATTATTATTAAATTAAAGAACGATTTAACAGATAAAGCTATTAAGTTAATCTATGAACGTTTGCGGCATCAACAGTAATGTACTTCCGATAAAGAATTAGATTTCAATTCATTTAAATGTGAAAAACTGTCCAAGAAAAATTTAAACAAAAAACTTTAATTTTAAAGCAACAAATCAAGGAAAAACAATTTGAATTGTACTGACGGAGCTTGAAATAATTTTGCAACACGTCGATCTTCACTCTTATTTTCATTCATTTAAACGGACATCACTGGGCAACAATGGTCAATAAAATCCTCCCGAATTTGAAACAGAGGAAGCTGCGGTTCGCAAGCACTTGCGAGAACACGACCAAAAAGACGCTCTATCAAGTGACATAAGAGAATTTGCAAAAACTCGACTTAACAAAAATTCCAATTAGCAAAAGTCTGCGACCTAGCAAATTTGAGTCTCACGCACTAACCAATCAGCCAAGAACGCTTAAAATCCCCGAAAACTAGCCACCAAAAACGCACCTACATATTCTAATAAATTGCCACTTCCATGCAGCAAAAGTAACACCAAATACAAAAAGATACAATTTTGCATGTAATAAATTGCAAACTATAAAGCCACATTATGTATAAATCATGCATTTCAAAAAAATGCGAGATATATTGAGTTAGAAAATTTCTGGAATCGAAATTTTATTATTGCTATGATGTTTGAAACAAATAGCTTTTTAGGCTCACTTGATGAATTAAAAATGCATCAACTGTGTAAATTTATAACTATTCGAATGTCAAAGAACATGTTATCAATCATTTGTAAAGGTGCAACAAATAAGCTGTCATGCCAATTCGATGCAGCAAATATTGTAGCTTTAAGTAGCAACAATATTTGCGACTTAATCGCAACAAAATTTGCGTCTTAGGTTGGAAAAAAAGAAAGTTCGTACTATAACACTTTGCTTCGCAAGCGTAATCATCGGGCCAAAAATAAACACGAACGGAATATATTTTTACCTTCTGCAACATATATTGTTGAAGTTCTTCTCCCTCAAGCAAAACTCTCTTTTTCACATCAATTGCCACTGCTTTGGTCTCTGGTCTGTCAATCAACAGGCGAGCAAGAGTGCCCTGGCCAGTCCTCTGGGTGAAAATTACAGAGTTCTTCGGGTCCTAAAAACAATCGGGAAATGTTGTCAATTCACTCATTTCAAAGACAACATAGCAAACTACTACCACAATACTGCCAAAAATGGAACAATCATTTCAGAAAATCGGCATACAATTCATAGCACGTTTAATTACATAATCTTCACATGTTCTTCAATTACAAAATTCAGATTATTATGTAATTTCAGCAACAACTGCAGTTATTTTAATACGCTTGTCAGCCTTCTTCCTCTATGATTAAGAAAGTTAAACTACTTTCCAATATTTAGAAATTATTTACCTGGCACCACTGGACAAACAGGTCCTTTGCGAATCCAGATTGGAGATCCGGCTGTGTAGCCAGAATGACCTTGGGGTCTGTGAGTCTCTTCAGATCTTCCAGCGAGTGACAAAGTTTGAGGTTCTTGAATGCGAACGGATTTGTTCTGTCCGACTCAAACTGTGTCATTAATCTAACCACAAAAAAATACTTTTTGATTGCAATTACAGCAAATTTGCGTTTTTATGAGAAATGTCAACATAGAAGTAAAAAAACATTGTATGTACCAATTTGCAAATTGTTCTTGAAATGAGTAGATCATCATTTGCAAGCTGAGCAGAATAACAATTTGTGAGCACGATAACAATTTTTCGCAGAAATGTTCGCTTGTATTCCTTCCAACTATAGTAATTGAAAAGAACGCCGCCTTTTCTTCAATTAAAAAGATAAAACGGCTCTTTTTCCTCCCCCCCCCCCCCCCCCCATCTCACTCAAACATGAATTTTATGGTCTAACGACTAGTTTTACAAGGTTGATTATGAAGACCAAATATGTTTGTCATTGCCTAATCAGTCTGTATGTCAATTTTCATGACAATCGGACAAAGTGAACAGTAACTTCAAATATAAAAATTTGCAGGTGAGGGAAAAGGAAAAAGAGCCGATAAAATAATTAGAACATTTCGTTCTATGTTCTCTATTGTTCTCCATTAGTTCTCTGTTTTATCTCTAATAGTCGCAGATCAGTAAAAAAATTGAAAATCTCATTTTTTTTTTAAATCGCAATCGATAAAATAGCAATTTTTGCTGGTCTCAATTTTGTTTCGTAGTTAACCCACCTGTCGCTCATCCATTCCATGTGGCTTTTGGCAAACTCGACAGTGTTGTGACTCATGTGGGAGAGAAGGGCGAGAGAGTACTGGTTCAGTCCACTCTCCTCATTGCGCCACAGATTGTCCAGCAGCTGCGCCAGTTCTGGAAATATCACAAACAGAGTACTCATTTGCTGTGCAATATCGCACATAAAAAACGAAACAAGTCACATGATTTTTTATGACTTCAAGCTTTCTTCATATCTCAGCTAAGGTTTTGCTAATGACGCTTTAACGGTGAAAAAAAAAACAAGCAGCCAACAAATTCACAAAGTCATCGATGCTTGCACAAACACTAAGTTTGGTTGTTTAGCCCTTTACAAAAAGAACACCCAATCCTTATCTCGGCAGCTTCTCGATTTTATCTTTAAAACCAGTGACGGGCTCAAAGTTTGATTAAAATCACTGAAATAGTTTTAATTCATTTAACACCTAAACTTTACACTTAAAACCAAAATTTTGAATTTATTAATTATATTAATTAAACCCAAACATTGATTTACATTGCTTTTGTAATTAGAATTAGAGACTTGATGTTTCGTTTATTAACAAAATCAAAACAATTAACCTAATACTCTCCCAGCAGTGTCTATACAAATGAGCACATTGCCCCTCTCTCTCAGAGTGCTCATAATATTAACAGTTAGCTGCTCATCTCTCACTGGTCTCTTCTCCCCCACATAAGTGCCATTGTATGCATCTGTTATCAGAATGTGGGACCTCAAGCAAAGAACCATAGATGAGTTTGGACATCATTATTTCACTACAGTTCGATCAATTTTTGGGGAACAAAATATAAAAATAAACTCAGTCTTAAGCATACGACATTTTTGGAGGTCAGTATAGATGAATGGTGACGTTTAGAACAAAAATTGGCGCTTGATTTCTCATAAACCGGTATTGTAATTGCATAGCCAACTGAGTTTAACGCAATTACAAAAAAGGACTGATTTTTTCCAAAACCAAAGATATGACCTTAAAGGTCTTCGAACCACTAAAACAAATTCTTTTTGACGCTTTCTGATAAAATTAACCCACTTTGAGAGAAATGGATAAATTGATCATTTATTCATCCCACTGGAAAATCTGATATTAAATTCCATTTTCGAAACTCGAAGTCGATCACATTTTTCATGGCCTAAACACTTTTGCTATTCGATAGTGGAGTTTGCCTTCCTTTGAACAAATAAAATGAAGCAGTGAGCGAGAACACATTTTCTGAAAGAAAACAAGAAAAATGACGTTCATAGACACTATGATATGGTTATCTACCTGGACATGACATCCATCGTGCATCCGTTCAAGTGTCTCTCCCGTTTATGATTGTAGTCCACTGCATACACTACATCCTCCTCCCCATCCTTCGTCACCTGTCAATCAACAAAAAACTGAACTCAATAAATAAAAAAATTTTAGCAGACCAATTTTTATATCAGATCAATCTTTTAGCAGAATCAGAACAATAAGCAAATGAGAGCGCAAACTTCAAACGCTGCACTGTAAAGTGGCTTCTCAACTGAGCTATAATTCGTCACGCGTTATATTGTGCACGAAAATTTTTGTTTTGCCCCTAATTTGGACTAGAGTTGTTTTCGAGAAGTCAAAAAGTTTCAAAAAAACGGACAAGAAATCAAAACACATTGACTTTTCTGAAGGCCAAAACTTTTTTGTGAGAGAATTGAACGTGAGTGAGGGCTTACCCAAGCGCTATTCACTCAAATCTTTCTCTTTTAATTGAATCCAAAATCTCAGATTTGGGATGGTAGTTTTCAAGACAAGTAGTCGAAAACTGCTAGAAACGATAAAAAAAAACAAAAATTGGGCTTTTTCGAGTGTCATAACTTTTGGGGTAACAAAAATTGGACGTAACCGTTTCGGCAGAGGAGCTTCCCACAACTCATTCTGTCCATTAAAACCAAAATCTCAGATTGAGGAAGACGGTTTTTGAAAAGTCTCAAAAAATCGAAAATTTGACTTCTCCGAAGGTATAATATTTAGTGTTAAAAAATAATTGGGCGTAGTTCCTCTTTCAGGAGAAGTTCTCAAAGCCTGTTCTGTCTATTGACGCAAAAATTTCAGATTTGAGATGGTAATTTCGAGAAAATCAGAAAAAAAATGAGTCAAAAATTCCACCCACGCACTTTTTCAAAGGCTGTAGAATGTGGGGTAAGTTAAAGAGAGACTAGGAACTTATGCGGGCACACAGAATAGCGGGAGGTCTTCCCATTGGTACCATTTTTTGAGTATTTTTTGAGAAGGAGATTTTTTGAAAAGTGAAATATCTTTCTTAAGCGTTTCAAAAAAAAATTAATAAATCAAATAAAAAACCCGATCCCATACAAATCGTGCTTTAAATCGTGCAAAAGTTTTTTGACAAATCGTGCTTAATTAGAGTCAAAATATCCAAAACTGAGCTTTTTCTCAAGTCTGTCAATCAATTATGCGTCAGCTGCATTACGTTAGTCTGTTTAAAGACTCAATTATCACTTTCTATGAAAAGAATTGCTCTGCTAATGGATCGGTTTCTAAAAACACTGAACAAAACTGGGGGATATTCTCATGTGCGATGGCCAAAACACAGGAAAACTGTCAAACAAAAACGACCATTAAACAGCCCAAAACGGACTGATTTTATCCCTGAATAAGCAAAATAACTTCATATCTTACATGCTTATTTGTATACGAATAATGAAATCTGAATGGCTAAAAAAAATTTCCCTCATTCGACCTTTCGCGCATATGGAATTCCCTATCAAAGACACTCATTCACTTAACTACTCAACGTAACTCAAACTGTCTAAATGATATCTACATAATAACAAAAACTTGAATTCAGCCAACACAATTGAAAAATGAACAAGGAGACCGATAGATATGATTAACTTTTTACAATTAGTTTTTCAAACAATGATATATATCACCTTAAATCTCTTGGAGCTTCATTATGACCGTGTTTCGATAAAACTGAGCCAATTTGAGAAAACTGGATCAAAAAGGCTTTCTTTAAACCCCGAGGAATTCTGAAAACTGAATTAATGCAAGAAACTGAAAATCAGTCTCATTTCGAGCCATTTGAGAAATTGACATGGATATTCGAGAGCGTCACTTGCCATCCTTCAAGCAACTGAAACTAAATTGCAGTTGAAAAAATCATTGGAGCACATTTGATGCATTAGGACAGGCAAAAACCATAAGGAAAGAAAGATAATCGGTTACTGTGCAAATAGCACAGAATGCTCCTAAAAAAATTTAAATTATGGTAATTTTTTATGTGCGGTAAGAAAAAGATCTGAACAAAAAAAGAAACTAGGCAAATTCAATATTCAAAGTCAAATAATCTAATTTGAAAACAGTTTTTGTAGAAAAAGACAAGAAAAAAGAAGAAAAAATAACTAAAATCTTTGAAGTTTTGATTCCCAAAACGGCACTGAAACTCCATAAAAGAATTTTACTCGAATGAAACTAAGTTTTCACGGCTTAAATAGGCTATTGCAAGCATGCATGCAGTTCTTATTTGCTCTAACTTAGACCAAAAATCAAGAACTTCAAACATGTTTTTCTCGACACTGAGGACATGACATCCATCGTGCATCCGTTCAAGTGTCTCTCCAAAGGCAGGGGAGCTTCCCAAAACTCATTCTGTCCATTAAAACCAAAATCTCAGATTGAGGAAGACGGTTTTTGAAAAGTCTCAAAAAATCGAAAATTTGACTTCTTCGAAGGTTATAATATTTAGTGTTAAAAAATAATTGGGCGTAGTTCCTCTTTCAGGAGAAGTTCTCATAACCTGTTCTGTCTATTGACGCAAAAATTTCAGATTTGAGATGGTATTTTCGAGAAAATCAGAAAAAAATGAGTCAAAAATTCCACCCACACACTTTACCAAAGGCTGTAGAATGTGGGGTAAGGTAAAAAGAGACTAGGAAATTATGCGGGCACACAGAATAGCGAGAGGTCTCCCATTGGTACCATTTTTAAAGTATTTTTTGAGAAGTCGATTTTTTAAAAAGTAGAAAAATCTTCTTAAGCGTTTCGAAAATAATTAAATAATCAAATAAAAAACCCGATCCCATATAAATCGTGCTTAATTAGAGTCGAAAACCCAAAACTGAGCTTCTTTTCAAATCTGTTAATCAATTATGCGTCAGCTGCATTACGTTAGTCTGTTTAAAGACTCAATTATCAGTTTTTATGATAAAAATTGCTCTGCTAATAGATCGGTTTCTAAAAACATTGGACAAAACTGGGGACTATTCTCATGTGCGATGGCCAAAACACAGGAAAACTATCAAACAAAAAGGACCATTAAACAGTCCAAAACGGACTGATTTTATCCCTGAATAAGTGTGACACCTCCTGTGTGACGCCTCCTCGAGTGGTGTAGTCCTTTGCGTTGTGGTCCGCAGTAATCCTATTTGTATTTCCTATCTGCCTACGCGATATACTGTAGAGTTGGCAGTATATCACCGATGGTTCATCAAATGAGACCTTTTCTGCAAACGTCACACGCCGCATTGCCCAGTGCTTAGAGACGTAGGTGCGAATCTTGGGGAGCGTTGCTTCCGCAAAGGTGAGCCTTGGTGGATACCCGACATCTTTGCATTGTGTGTGCCCCTCCTGGCCACTAGTCTAACTAGTGGCAGGTTTCCCGTACGTTTATTGACACTTTGTACGGCTTCGTGGTCGGCGAAGGTCTATGCTTGCATAATCGTGTAAAAACTCTTCTGTTTAAAGGAGTTTTAGGGACTCTTCCCTCAAAGCGGTAGCTATGTTCTATAGTTACCGGCGATTGTAAAGGGTCTCAAATTGCCGGTTAGTATGGACCTGAAGCTGTCAGTTGGTTATCGCGTTTTTCCAACTGTCAGTTAGTAGGGGAAAGAAAGCTGGCGATACGAGATTCCTGACCAAGTAGTGCATGAGCTATGCTCATCGGTCTACTCCAAAGACCTCGGTCTAAGCCAGAGACCTTTTAAAGTTATCTATGATGACTAAGGGCCAACGAGTGGGATTTATTAGGAGTGGTGCCCCTATACGATCCACACTGGTCACGTAAGGTGGGATGCCGTATGCACTACACGCTCCCTTTAAGTGACCAGGTAGCAAGAGTGTCCAGCTCAATCTCGACATGGCTAGGATAGCTACAGGACGCGCACTGCGTGCGTCGGGGTCCGCTGAGATATATATATTTGAGCATAGTTCCTCTTTCAGGAGAACTTCTCATAACCTGTTCTGTCTATTGACGCAAAAATTTCAGATTTGAGATGGTAATTTCGAGAAAATCAGAAAAAAAAAATGAGTCAAAAATTCCACCCACGCACTTTTTCAAAGGCTGTAGAATGTGGGGTAAGTTAAAGAGAGACTAAGAACTTATGCGGGCACACAGAATAGCGGGAGGTCTTCCCATTGGTACCATTTTTTGAGTATTTTTTGAGAAGGAGATTTTTTGAAAAGTGAAATATCTTGAGCGTTTCAAAAAAAAATTAATAAATCAAATAAAAAACCCGATCCCATACAAATCGTGCAAAATTTTTTTGACAAATCGTGCTTAATTAGAGTCGAAATATCCAAAACTGAGCTTTTTATCAAGTCTGTCAATCAATTATGCGTCAGCTGCATTACGTTAGTCTGTTTAAAGACTCAATTATCACGTTCTATGAAAAGAATTGCTCTGCTAATAGACCGGTTTCTAAAAACACTGAACAAAACAGGACCATTAACCAGCCCAAAACGGACTTATTTTATCCCTGAATAAGCAAAATAACTTCATATCTTACATGCTTATTTGTATACGAATAATGAAATCTGATTGGCTAAAAAAAATTTCCCTCATTCGACCTTTCGCGCATATGGAATTCCCTATCAAAGACACTCATTCACTTAACTACTCAACGTAACTCAAACTGTCTAAATGATATCTACATAATAAAAAAAAAACTTGAATTCAGCCAAGACAATTGAAAAATGAACAAGGAGACCGAAAGATATGATTAACTTTTTACAATTAGTTTTTGAAACAATGATATATATCACCTTATATCTCTTGGAGCTTCATTATCACCGTGTTTCGATAAAACTGAGCCAATTTGAGAAAACTGGATCAAAAAGGCTTTCTTTAAACCCCGAGGAATTCTGAAAACTGAATTAATGCAAGAAACTGAAAATCAGTCTCATTTCGAGCCATTTGAGAAATTGACATGGATATTCGAGAGCGTCACTTGCCATCCTTTAAGCAACTGAAACTAAATTGCAGTTGAAAAAATCATTGGAGCACATTTGATGCATTAGGACAGGCAAAAACCATAAGGAAAGAAATATAATCGGTTACTGTGCAAATAGCACAGAATGCTCCTAAAAAAGTTTAAATTATGGTCATTTTTTATGTGCGGTCTGAAAAAGATCTGAACAAAAAAAGAAACTAGGCAAATTCAATAGTCAAAGTCAAATAATCTACTTTTACTCGAATGAAACTAAGTTTTCACGGCTTAAATAGGCTATTGCAAGCATGCATGCAGTTCGTATTTGCTCGAACTTAGACCAAAAATCAAGAACTTCAAACATGTTTTTCTCGACACTGAAAAAAATTTTTAGAAAAGGCTTTAATATGATATATCACTCGACCAATTCCAATGATTATTTGTTGTACCTGACTCTGCATGAAAAACAATAAAACTAAAACAAATCCGGAATGCAAATTTCCTCCGCATTATTCAAATAAGCTAATCAGCGTAATAAGCTCAATTTAAAAAACCTAGAACCTTTATGACAAGAAAACCTTGGTATCAATTACATGTTCCATCACTAATAGAAAATCTGGCGTTGTCAAAACAAAAAAAACAATAAGCAGAGGCCTAAATATCTTCAAAACGAAACATTAGTCATCATCATAGGTGTAAACGATAATCTTGAATTCAGCCAACACAATTGAAAAATGAACTCATGGAGACCGAAAGATATGATTAACTTTTTTCAATTAGTTTTTCAAACAATGATATATGTCACCTTAAATCTCTTGGAGCTTCAATATGACCGTGTTTCGATAAAACTAAGCCAATTTGAGAAAACTGGATCAAAAAAGACTTTCTTTAAACCCCGAGGAATTCTGAAAACTGAATTAATGCAAGAAACTGAAAATCAGTCTAATTTCGAGCCATTTGGGAAATTGACATGGATATTCGAGAGCGTAACTTGCCATCCTCTAAGCAACTGAAACTAAATTGCAGTTGAAAAAATCATTGGAGCACATTTGATGCATTAGGACCGGCAAAAACCATAAGGAAAGAAAGATAATCGGTTACTGTGCAAATAGCACAGAATGCTCCTAAAAATATTTAAATTATGGTCATTTTTTATGTGCGGTAAGAAAAAGATCTGAACAAAAAAGAAAGAAACTAGGCAAATTCAATAGTCAAAGTCAAATAATCTAATTGGAAAACAGTTTTTGTAGAAAAAGACAAGAAAAAAGAAGAAAAAATAACTAAAATCTTTGAAGTTTTGATTCCCAAAACGGCGCTGAAACTCCATAAAATAATTTTACTCGAATGAAATTAAGTTTTAACGGCTTAAATAGGCTATTGCAAGCATGCATGCAGTTCTTATTTGCTCGAACTTAGACCAAAAATCAAGAACTTCAAACATGTTTTTCTCGACACTGAGAAATTTTTTTAGAAAAGGCTTTAATATGATATATCACTCGATCAATTCCAATGATTATTTGTTGTACCTGACTCTGCATGAAAAACAATAAAACTAAAACAAATCCGGAATGCAAATTTCCTCCGCATTATTCAAATAAGCTAATCAGCGTAATAAGCTCAATTTAAAAAACGTAGAACCTTTATGACAAGAAAACCTTGGTATCAAGTACATGTTCCATCACTAATAGAAAATCTGGTGTTGTCAAAATCAAAAAAAAACAATAAGCAGAGGCCTAAATATCTTCAAAACAAAACATTAGTCATCATCATAGGTGTAAACGATAATCTTGAATTCAGCCAACACAATTGAAAAATGAACTCATGGAGACCGAAAGATATGATTAACTTTTTACAATTAGTTTTTCAAAGAATGACATATATCACCTTATATCTCTTGAAGTTCAATATGACCATGTTTCGATCAAACTAAGCCAATTTGAGAAAACTGGATCAAAAATGACTTTCTTTAAACCCGAGGACTTCTGAAAATTATATTAATGCAAGAAACTGAAAATCAGTCGCATTTTGAGCCATTTGAAAATTTGATATGGCTATTCGATAGCGTAGCTTGCCATCTTTTAAGCAACTGAAATTAAATTGAAGTTGAAAAAATCATGGGAGCACATTTAATGCATTAGGACAGGCAAAAACAATAAGGAAAGAAGGATAATCGGTTACTGTGCAAATAGCACAGAATGTTCCAATCATAGTCTTGAAAAAATGTCAAATTATGGTCGTCTTTCATGTGCGGTGCGAAAAAGATCGGAACAAAAAAAGAATTAGCCAAATTCAACAGGCAAAGTCAAATAATCTAATTGGAAAACAGTTTTTGAAGAAAAAGACAAGAAAAACGAAAAAAAAAAACTAAAAAATTTTGAAGTTTTGATTCCCAACTCGGCGCTGAAACTCCATATAATAACTTAACTCGAAAAAAAACTAAGTTTTCACGTTTTAAATAAGCTATTGCAAGCATTTGCTCGAACTTAGACCAAAAATTGAGAAAAATTTTTCTCGACACTGAGAAAATTTTTTAGAAAAGGCTTTAATATGATATCACTCGACCCATTCCGATGATTCTTTGTGGTACATGATTTTGCATGAAAATCTATAAAACTTAAAGACACCCGGAACGCATATTAACTCAATTTAAAAAAACTAGAAACTTTGACAAAAAATCCTTGAAATCATTTACATGTACCATCACTAATAAAAAATCTGGCGTTGTCAAAACCAAAAACAACAAAAAGCAGAAGCATAAATATCTTTAAAGCAAAACATTAGTCATAATCATAGGTGTAAACGGTTTAACATTTTACAAAGAAAATTTTTTCATAACTGAATGGAAGCATGGAAAGTAAGCAACAAGTTCGGAAAAAATATGCAGCTGGAATTTTGTATTCATGATATTTGATTGAGTTAACAGGCATTAAATTTTCGATAATAATTTCAAAATGTGATTTAAAAATATCTGCTGAATATCAAATGAGTTACAGAAAGCGCTGCTCTCGAAAAATTTCTTGATTATGAAAAAAACATGGGAATTGACTTCGATGATGCTAACGTATGTTCAATTGCATAAATACTGCTGCGCCTGCATAATAAGCACACGTTATAAACTCCTATTTTTCCATATTGTCTAACTTTGGATTATTCGCGCTGCTAGCACTTATCAACACTCCCCCCTCCCCCTCTCATATCACAGATACACCCAGTTGTCGCTTTAGAAGGTTCTGTATTCATATTTAGCAGGATGAACCTTACAATAAAACCAAAATCTTTTTAACCTTAAAATCCTTTGGCTGCTTTCTCTGATATGGTATTCATTTAACTTTCATTGCTTCAGATATTGATTTCTGATTAAACATGTTTGGAAAAAACTTGATCAATAGGTATTGTTTTTAAATGCGCTAGGAAATCTAAAAACTAAAATCCGTTTTCTAACCGTTTTTTGCGTCATTTGATTTTATTAAATGGAAGAGCGTAATGTGCCTTCCATATAACAAACGAATTGAATCAAGTAATAATCATTTTACCTTCCATATGGCGCCTCCCACAAGATGTCCAGCAGGATAAGCCACCACAGTCAGTCCCTCTCCCTTACCATGAAGGGCGATCGGTTCCTGATATTTGACCTGAACAAATGAGAACTCAGCAACGACGCTCCAAAACTATACATTTGACAACTTAGCCAACAGCCAGTTAGAAAAATGCAAAAATATACGGTATTGAAGCTCTTCTGATTTCAAGAACAACTTATGACTCACGTCTTTTGATAATTTTAACCCAATATGAGAAAACTGGATTATTAGGAAAAAAATTTTTATTACGCTAGGAAATCTGAAATCCTTTTTCACAACTAAGAATCGGTCACGTTTTTTGTGGCCTTTACACTTTTGCTGTTCACTGGTGGAGTTTGTTTTCCTTTCAACAAAAAAAAAACGAACTGAACTGAAATAAACAAAAAGTCAAATCGCGAAAAAATAAATTTGAGCGTGAACAAATTTCAAAAATTTCTTCAAAAAAAAAACAAAAAATTATCACAACCTGTATAAGAGTTTTCACCAGTTTCATCGACTCTTAACAGTTTTTAACAACAAATTATCATTGACGATCTAAAATACCTGTGTGATTCTGTCGAATGCGGTGTCCACGTGGTCCAGAGAGAATGTGTGGAAGTGTTCACAGGTGTTTCTGGACTGGAATAGATCATAGAGGAATAATTGACCCATCTTTTGCACTGGCACTGTGGCATAAATGGGACAGTCTGGGGGCAGACCCAGTACTCCCACTAAGTAGGGAAGCAGACCTGGAAAAATGTTTAATTGTACTAGCGCATGAACGGCAAATTACAGTGCTTCAAAAGCATGCTGAACGTGAAAAGAGCATCTTAAAGTAAGTACAAAAAACAACAATATTTATTGCAACCGTAAAAGAAACTGGGAACATCCAACGTGGTTCTAACATCCACGGGATTTTTTAGAGAACATTTTTGAAAAAGTGTATGAATATTATTTTCGATAAAACCTGCGTCTCAGGAGCCGAAGACTTTGAAAAATTCAGTAAACATAAACAGCCTTTAATAAGAGTTCCTGGCTGCTGTTCAGTTAGCACACAGGGTTGCTATCATATTGATTTCCGAGAAAAAAAAAACAAAAAATAAAGAAAGGGAAGAAGAATTAGAAAAATGGTAAACTCAAACAAAACGATGGAGTGTTTCAACAAAAAACATACAATGACCTTTTAACGCAATGCTACGTCACCTGAGTAAGTATAAAGATTTTACTGACCCAGATGAGTGGTGTCTGGGTGTGAGAGTAGAACACAGTCTATCTCGTGTACTCTGGGTGCTATCCTCTCCACAACTCCCATAGAGAGTCTCTCGTCCCACCCGCAGTCCAGCAGAATGTTGAAGTCATCTATCTAATTAAATCATTTTTCATGAAACTTAATTACCATTTCCCATTATCGTTATCGTCATTATCATCCATTTATTTATACGCTCCTCCTTTTACTCAAATGTGTTGAATACACTCAATTGTAATAATATTGTTTGAAGAGGTGAAACTAGTTGTTTTCGAAAAGAAGTGAGGTTATCAGTGTTTCGAAGGGTATTTTAAGGGTACTTAAATCAACTTTAGATCTTTTAACTATTATTCTCCTCTTGAAAAAAAACTCTTTCGACAACTATTGCAAATTTTAACATAGGGGTGAAATAAACCGCCTACACATTTTTACAATTAATTTTTTAAACTAAATACTTGCTGGGCCTCCGAGATAATTTGACCCCCCCCCCTCTCTCTAGAAATATTCAACATCTCTATCTCCGCTATTGAAAAACCCTTTATGATAGCAAAATATCCAACCCCTCCCCTTTATCCCAGTAACTTTTAACCCTATGAAATATTTTACCTGTAACAGATAACAAGGAGGCGTGTCATCTTTAGCCCCTGAGAAGGCTGTAAGTTTCACAATCGACGTCATTACTCGAAGATGGACGGCATGTCAATTATCCAATAATCAGAGATATGTAAATCATCATTTTCATTCAAATAAGATAATTTATAGAAATCATTTAAATGATCTGAAAGCATAAGTGTCAAAACACAAAAAATAATAACTGGTTTTGAAATATCATCAACCGACTGTGGAAAACTTATCGAAGCATAAACCAGCCTGAATAATGAACTCTGAGTATATATAACAACTCAAAAGGACAAGAAATATCGATATGTTAATGATACTGCTCATAAATCGAGGTATCGGCATGCAGGGGCGGATGTAGGATTTTTACGAGGGGGGAGGGAATTTTCAGTAAACCTTTTGGCCTTTTTTAGGTAGACCAAATTGATTATTCGAGCACTCCCACAACACTCGAAAGACCCTATTTTGACCAAAATTTGTTTTAATAACACGTCAAAAAAGCCGCTTTCCCTCAAAATTAGTATATATTGCCGCCTTTAGAAAATTTTCGGGTTTGGTCAGCAAAAAATAGATTTTTTTTAATTACCAAAGACAACAAAAACATTGTAACATGTTCTACTGATGTTAGAGAGGCTTCATGGGATGGGACACAGTTAGTAGAAGCAGTAACCGTATAGCGAACAAATTCAAGTTTCGTTTTTGAAACTGAATAGGGGTGCCTACGACTAGCGAGTTTCAGAAATTAGAAGTGATGAATTTGAACTAACTTCTTATTTAATTTGGTTTTATACCGACCACGACTGAAAAATCAATTTAAGTATTGATGCAGAGCTTGGACCTTATGTCAATAACCTGTCTAGACAATGACTTAAATCTGCTGCTTTATGTTTATTCAAACTTGAGTACTTTTTTCCAATATTTTCTTTTATGTTTTCAGATTTATATATTTTTCCTTTTCTTTGAAGATCTCAAATTTCATCTTTCATTTGATAAAACGGGTAGTGCTCTGTAACCCAATTGGGTTCGTTAACTGTCCCCTCACTGTTTCTGGTGCTTCATATTTATTTCTCGTTGTATGCATATTTACCATTAACAATGAGAAATAAATTCTTTCTTCTTTCATTATATTACAAGATAGTGAACAGCAAAATAGTCAAAGTTGATTAGGTGAGTCGAACAAAAACTACATCTACAAAAATATCTACTTTTGTCTTGGTTTTTTTTTCATAAAAAAAACAAAAGCCTTAAGAATCCTTTACCGGACATCAACTAAGGCGAAAAAATTTCGGCTGACCTCCGTTTGAAAATAAAACTGCTGTCAAGAAAAATTTTCTTGCTATGAAAACTGCATAAAAAAAAATTCTAAGATGTGGCAGCTAAGCCGACAAAACAAGCAGGCAAATAATAAGCCGACAATTTTTTTGAAACGGAGAACTTCCGGTTTGAATAAAAAAACAGCTTCTGGTCAGATTCGAACCCAGGATGATTGCGGTCCCAGGCGTATTTTTTGCCTCCAGACTGAGACGTGTGCCGGAGACGCTTCGAAATTGGAAACCATTATGAACCACGGTACCAAATGAATCTGCTAACCAAGTTGTTAACCCGAAAAAACTTAAAACTTTACGACCCATTCGTCCTGAAACAAAAAAAAATGTGACTTCGAAATTACGCAACAAATATCACGACCCATATACCTATAAAACAGTCTGAACAACGTTCATCGACTCTTAATCAACTGTCATTTTTCTTCAAATTGGAGAACTAATCAAGAATTGATAAATTTTTCTTCAAAACAAATAGCTGCACTTTCTACGTACAAATCAACTGCGTTCAAGAAAACAAAAAATTATTTTCTTTCCATTTAACAATTTGAATTTTTTGTAAATAATCTAGATTTTCTAATCTGCCGTGCCTGACATCAAGCCACAGCCCTCTTCTATTTCTCTGAACTTGCGCAGTCGTCTATGTGTATTCTCTATCTCCACTCTGATTCTGTTCAGAGTTCCTGGTGGGTACCAGCCGTCAGTCTCACTCAATTGACAGTCTGTGTCATTGTCCAGAGATTGCAACAAACACTGGACTGTCTCTATGTGGATATGGCGCAGCTGAAAGCATCATTATTGGTACAACATGAGAACAGAAGAAATATCGAAGTCATAATTGATACGACACAAAATGATACCACATGAAAGATCGAAGAAACAGAAAAAAAATATATTTTAGATTTCTATACATAAAAAAATAAGAGTATAACTAAAACAGCCGGTTGCGGGCCAATGAGACCGAACCGTTGTTCCGATGGTTTTATTTTTTTCCACATAACAAACATTGATTCCGATATGCTTTGAGATTACAGTATCAGTTGCAAACACTTTTGTCACTACAAACAAGATCTGGCTACAAAATAAAGTCGGGTTTTCGAAAATTTAAAAAAAAAATAAATTAACAAGTCACTTCTTCATTACTGTGTTTTTCTAGAGCTACAAATACAAACCGCAAATTGCAATGTTAGGTGGAGAATGATCGCATCCAGTAAAATTTTCTATTTCAACCAATTACAAAAATCGTTAACTTCTTCAAGTATCCCTTCAAACAAGGACAGCCGGTAGCTGTGGAAACATACAAAACAAAATAAAATGTTCAGACACCGCGATTTTTTAGATTAAAACATAAACAACGGACAGTTTTTAAAAGTGCTCAAAATACTCAGGGAAAAATATATATACATCTGAAATTTTTAACTTCGAACTTCAGAGAGAAAAAATAGATAACGTCTGATATCTTTGAACTTCATAAACGTTGTATGATTGGCATTCGCACCTATTGCGATACAACACAATCATAAAAAGCACAAAAGGGAAAAAATGGAAAATGTTGAAAAAAAACTTTCGTATGTCTCGATGAAGGACACCTAGGGCTCAGCTAAAACTCGAGGTATTATTTGATATTTTTTGATTTTGTTATACTGAAGCAGGACAAAATGCGAAAGCAAAGCTATGACTTTTGACATAGAGGCGAAGCAAAGCTTCGCTCAACTTAGATAGAACACAAACATAGCGAACTGACAGTTGGAAAAAAATTAACTCAAGGAAACTAAAAAAAACCTACTTGTTTTTTTTTTCAAAAATCTTCAATTTTCGAATTTCGAAGAAAAAACAAGTTAGCCTTAAATCTCTGTGAATTTTAAGACCAATTTACGATGGAAACTTTATTCGTATAAATTTACCCAATTTGAGAAAACTGGATCAATAGGTGAAACTTTTATTTCGCTGGGAAATCTGATAATTAATTTCCTTTTTCGAAATTAGAAGTTGATCATGTTCTTTGTGACCTTTATAATTTTAGTTTTCGATAGTGGATTCCGGCTCCCTTTAACAATGGAAGTGCACTGAAATTGAAAATAAAGCACAACTCAATCCGCGAAAAAAAATCAAAATAGAGCGTGAACAAATTCCTGAAAAGAAAATTTTAAAAAATATGGAAGACCTATATAAGTGTACTGACTACGTTCATTACTCTTAACCATAAATACAGAAGCCAAGCTGAGTTTCGAAACACTTGCGGCGCGGAAAAAATCTGAAAAATGAAGTTGGAAAAATTACTTGAAAAAAAAATTAGTTACTTGAAAAAATAACTTGAAAACTTGAAAGAGATAAAGCTACAAAAACTGCATGGTTGTATAGAAAGAAGATCATAAAAAGCCTTAAAAATAATTGAAAATCAATTCCCTAGCGGCAACAAATTTTCGGTCGTAACCTGTTTGAGCCGACAACAAAACTGTTGGCTCAAAAAAAAATTTTCAAAAAATTTTTAGAACTTTTACGACCCATCCAATCTGAAACACATAATCGCATGAGAATATATTTGCCCTCAAAGTTATGTAAAATAAATTGATTGAGCCGATACAACATCAACTGACCCTGTTAAAATATTTGAAAACGAACGAAAAAAATGAAACAAAAACCAAAATCAGACTTGGTAAATTTACAAATTACTGAAAAATTATTTTTAGTAAAAATACTGTTTAAACTGTAAGAAAACATATGCTCTAGAAAAGCAACCAATGAAAATCCCTTCAGGTCAAAAAATGGCGTTTCAAAAAAAACGGAAAATCAACCGACAGAAACTAGGACGAAAACCAAGAACCAAAAAAAACATTTGAAAAAATAATTACAACCGGAAACGGGCTAATTGCAACTTAAATTATAGTGTTTTATTTGAATTTTCAAGAAATTGAGCATGCCAGAAGATGAAACAGTCCAGTGGAACAAAATTGTTTACGTGAAAAAAAAGTATAGAACCCAACTGCATTAAATACTTCATAGGGTAAAAACACTTCATTGAACTATTATCAGAAAAAAGCATGATTTCAAAGAAAAAGACAAGCCGCAGCCACCAATCATTACTTTCTTCTGAAATAAGAAAGAAAAGAAAACATCAAAAAAATCAATCAAATAATAAATCAAATTTCAAAAACGTTCAATAAATAGTACACAACAAGAGGTTTGAATGATAGTTTAAAAAAAAACACTCAAATGCAGCAGATTTACATCTGTGGCAATTAAGCTGACCAAAAATATGCAGACAATTATAGTCAAGAAATATTTTTCGTCACGGGGAAAATTGTTTGCCTGAAAAAAAAACCATGACCTTTGTCGTCCCAAGCATGAACTTAATCTCCGCGCTAAACCATACCAATTTGTACCTTGATCTCTCGTACAAATGTTGCAGTGAATTTGTTAATCAAGTTGTTAACCATAAAAAAAGTATCTTCACTGAGATTTGATAACGCTTGCTTAAAAGAACGCTGGAATCACTGTAATTACTTGTTAAAAATTGGTTTTTACCGCCGATGCGACAAACTTCGTCGAAATCGTTTGAGAAAAATTATCTGACCTGTGAAAAGGTGTTGTAGCAAGTTGGCAACTGATCGGGAAATATCTCAAATTCCACTTTCTCCGTCTGTTTTCTTCTGGCTTCATTAACTTCTTCGCTCGTCGAGGTCACTTCTCCATCAGGAATCTGCATGAAGACCCGTTTGATTTTGATGTGTGACCCGTTCGTATCCAATTGTCTCGTTTTTGTAAATTTCTTCGGCAATCGATAATCCATTGTTTGTAGTAGCTTTGAGTTACGGTCTCTTCTAGGGTCGTAGCCAAATCGTATCCATTGCCTTGACCAAGGTCCTGTATAACAAAGATACGCATGCCTCTGGACAGCTCCTTTGAGCAGTATTTTCTGATATGCAAGATTGTCATTGAATTCGTAGTTCAGAGCCTTTGTAAACCAACATGGACATTTAGCAAACAATTTCTCGAGCCTACTCGAAATATCTTTCAATCTTCCAAATACTTTCTGACTCACAATAGCGGGGCAAATTTGGAAAGGAACAGTGGGATCTCCAAAACGCATGTACTGCGTACCGTTCAAGCGGCGCTTTCTGGTAGAGTTTGCGACGAGATCCTTGTCAGCGACACTGTCATCTTCTTCTCCCTCAGCAGATTTCTTTTGTTTTTGTGAACCTGAGAACTGATCCTGAAACTCCGGTCGGAAATAATAAGTCACAGGACGTTCAAACCTGGAGAACAACGAAGGACAAGCAATAATAGGTAAATCCTGGGACAAGAACTCCCCGAATGAATGAAAAGGCGAAGCAGGATCATAACCAACTAGAGCTTTCTGCATGTCGATTATTTTGCCACTGGAATTCTGTTCGACTGGTAAATACTGGAAATCAGCCATATTGTTAAAATCAAACGCAGTGGTGGGAACTCCAACAATTTCACAATTAATAATCTGTGAACTCTTAGCAGGCGCTCCTTTTTTCCGTTTAAGGCGAACTTTCAATAGTAACTGATTATCGATTGATTTCTGTGTTCCTAGAATTGGTTTTGCGAAGTTGTTTTTGCTGTCTAACTGCAAGGTGATTCGAAGCTGAGGATTACTCAGAGTTGAGCGCAGTTTTTCAATACCAACTGCTTCCTCAAATCGATCAAAATTTTTCACAAAACCTGGATAATTAATAGCACAAAGCAGCTGAGTTTTGCGGAGAGACAATTCCATTCTAAAATCAAGTTTTTAACAGGGGCGAACTAAAAGAGCAGGCAGCTTTTTAAAACAGAGAATCTCCCTGGCAATACAGATTCCGAACGCCGCTTGCGTACTCGGAACAATAAATGACAAAATAACTTTCGACGAAATTTTTTTACTTGTAACACTTGTATATTACATTATCTCGTGTCGAGTTGCGTGTTCTTATTGAAGAAACGTAACCCGTATCGATTTTAATTGAAAAGGACTTAAACACTTGTCATCTTCTTTTATCATTATCACTTCCATATCTAAAAAATTCCAAGGATTTTGACTGGAATACATGATGAAGGGACTCATGACTGTAACCTCGGTTACTATGATACTTTTAAAACGGCAGATCAATGTAAAATAAATTCCAGAAACGTTGAACACGAAAAATTGAACACCTTAGGGACTCTGCCCCGGTGGGTAGTCATCTAAAGGAATGCGGAGCAGACAAGGCTGCAGTTGAGGCGAGAATTTTGGACAGATGCTACTTTTAAACAGATGCTACTTTTAAAACGGCAGATCAATGTAAAATAAATTCCAGAAACGTTGAACACGAAAAATTGAACACCTTAGGGACTCTGCCCCGGTGGGTAGTCATCTAAAGGAATGCGGAGCAGACAAGGCTGCAGTTGAGGCGAGAATTTTAGACAGATGCTTAGACACGAATAAACTTTTGACCTTAGAAGCGCTTTATATTTCGAGGAGAAGACCTGCCCTCAACACGCGCGAGGAATACCGGCAGCGGTACCTCACAGTCAAGTTGTGAGGTTTTTTAAGTCCGTTTGTTTTAGTCATATGACTAACTCGGGTCTTAACTGATGCTATTTTTATATTCTTTTTAATGTTAGTTTTTATACATTTTTTGTAATTTCTACACATCCATTTCCATTCCGGTTTTACAGGTGCTTTGTTTTTTAAATTGGCTGATGATGACTTTTATGTCGAAAACGTTTCTGGAATTTATTTTACATTGATCTGCCGTTTTTACCACCAAAGAATTTATAGCCTACATGTTTACAAAAATTTTCACGCAAAGGCGAAGCGGAGCTCCTCCTCGCATGCGATGCAAAAATAAACGTCAAAACAAGAGCTTAAAAAATGACTGAAACAAATAGCGACATATTTCATACTTTTGAGAAAGAGGCGAAGCAAAGCTTCGTTCAAATTGCGATACAACACAAACATAGCCAACTGACAGTTGGAAAAAAATGAATGCAAGAAAACTGAAAAAAAAATCTACTTTATTTATTTTTCAAAAATCTTCAATTTTTGAATTTCAAAGAAAAGATAAGATAGCCTTAAAGCTCTTTGAATTTATAGAACAATTTATGATGGAAAGTTTTTTAGTTAAATTAAAATTGACCCAATTTGCGAAAACTGGATCAATAGGTAAAACTTTTATTTCGCTGGAAAATCTGATTATTAATTTCCTTTTTCGAAATTAGAAGTTGATCACGTTCTTCGTGACCTTTTCAGTTTTTAGTGTTCAATAGTGGAGTTTCTCCCTTTTAACAATAGAAGTGCACTGAAATTGAAAATAAATCACAACTCAAACCGCGAAAAATCAGTGTGGACAAATTCCTGAGAAGAAAAATTAAAAAATAATAAGAAAAACCTATATAAGTGTACTGACTACGTTCATTACTCTTAACCATAAACCCAGAAGCCAAGCTTAGCTTCGCAACACTTGCGACGCGGAAAAATTCTGCAAAATGAAGGAAAAAATGATTGAAAAAATTAGTTACATGAAAAAATAACTCGAAAACTCGAAACAGATAAAGCTACAAAAACTGCATGGTTGTATAGAAAGAAGATCATAAAAAGCCTTAAAAATAGTTGAAAATCAATTCCCTAGCGGCAACAAAGTTTCGGTCGTAACCTTTTCGAGCCGACAACAAAACTGTTGGCTCAAAGAAAATTTTCATAAAATTTTTAGAACTTTTACGACCCATCCAATCTGAAACACATAATCGCATGAAAATATATTTGCCCTCAAAGTTATGTAATATAAGTTGATTGAGCCGATACAACATCAACTGACCCAGTTAAAATATTTGAAAACAAACGAAAAAAATGAAACAAAACCAAAATCAGACTTGGTAGATTTACAAATTACTGAAAAATCATCTGTAGTAAAAATAGTTTAAACTGAAAGAAAACATATGCTCTAGGAATGTAAGCAAGGAAAACCGCTTCAGGTCAAAAAATGGCGTTTCAAAAAAAACGGAAAATCAACCGACAGAAACTAGGACGAAAACCAAGAACAAGAAAAAAAATTTGAAAAAATAATTACAACCGGAAACGGGCTAATTCACTGTGCTTCAATTACTTCTGTTCTTATGTTCAATGAAAAGCTAAATGACCGGCCAAGTTTTTTCATCAAAACCCGCTGAACTACCATTCTCGCTTCCCTAACCTGTCACTGATGTTCTTCTCGTCATTTCTAGCCTTAATTTTTTTTTAATTCTGAGAAGTTTTAGCTGAAATCAAGGAACCGCTTGGTCCAAAAAATTCAGTTTTTCGGCACCCTGATTGCAACAAGAATCCGTTATAATATCGTTTTAAAAGCATTATCTCAGAAACTTAAATCTGTGAAAACAATTAATTAGTTTAAGATACCATTTAAGATAAGCTAGCACTAGGTTCCACAAAAGTTTATTCTTCTGTATCCATTGTAAGCTTCGCAGGCCACGAGGAGTGAAGTTCACGAGGCACAAATCAAAGATCAAACAAAACAACACTGACAAAATGATGAAGTACCATCCGCTTGATCTCTCTCCTTCCTTTTCGCTAGTTCCATCCTCGTTGACTGTGAAGGTCTGTTTTTGGCTGGTCTTGTCTTGCCATTCAGTACTGGTAGAATTCCCTGATTCTCGACTACCAGCCTGAGCGACTTCAACTCCAGAGCACTATCTTGGTGCAGCTCTAAATACTCTCCCATCAACTGTGGCTCGTGTTTTCCCTTCCTTTTCGATAGCAGGTACTTGGCCACGGGATTGACTAAAATACCCGTTCGTCTCAGCGCTTCCTCGATCTCGGGCAGGCCTTTCCTCTTACAATACACTAACGCTCTGATTCATGTACTTCTTGTATTTAGATATTTGGAAATAATTTCCGGGCTGCTGGGTCGATAGGTGTTTAATATGTGGCTCCTGATTGAATTGTTGATGACGTCGTGCCACCCCAAAATGTTTTCTCCTGAATGCAGGGAGCCCTTGATTAGGAGAAGTCGCAAGTTTTGCTCCTTTTTGTTTGTGTTCGGGTTGAGAGAGAGTCTGGGAATAGTCATCGCGATTGTTGAATAGACCCTTCTTTCATCCGACTCCAGGTCCTTAAAGTATGGTGTAGCTCGAGAAGTTATGAGTTTTTACAAAATTTTACCCCTAAAAACTATTTGATAAAACTCGGTTGAGAAAAAAAACACTCGTGAAGACTAATTTTTTAGATACAACTGAAACCGTGAACATCAAAATGGCGATTTTTGCTTACCAAGATAACACGGCAGCAACTAACTTATCAGGATAACACGGCAGCAACCAACAAAAAAACGGAAATTTTGAAGCCTTTCGATCATTGATAACGAAAAAATGAAACATTTAAAATATCGCGATTACCAAAACTCATGAATCAAAATCGAACAAGTGTTATTACGTAAGCAAAGAAATACTAGCGCATAAGTCGAATCTACGGTTCTTCAAATAGATTGTTGACCGTAAAATTTCTTTCTAAAAAATGTATTAAAATTCTTAATGCTCCCAAGAAGATAAACTGGGCTTATGCAGCAGGCGTTTCCGTTTCACTACAAACGCCACATCTCAGATGAGGATTTGAGCACGCAAATTTAGAGGTCAGACTTGCAGCGCCGTAAAGCCATGTTGTAAAGCCACATCTCGGAAACGAAAAGCATTTGAGTAGTGATAATTGGAGAGAAGAACTGCAACCCCCTGAGTGCAGGTTGAGAATTTCAAGTTCCATTACGTTCTTGAATCTATGTTTTTTGAAAAACAACCAATTTAAATAATCACGAAAAAACGACATAATCAGAAATCAAAATGATTTGAGCAGTCATACTTGGAGGTTTGATTTTCAACCCCTGAGTGAACCCCGATAGCATCCAGAATAAGGTTGAGAAATTCAGATTCGGATAGTTTTTTTTTATAACTAAGTTTCTTGAGAAAAAAGGTCATGAAAAAAGACATATAGTGAAAACCATAAAGATTTGAGCAGTCATACTAGAGAGCTAGATTTGCAGCCCTTGAGGGTACCTTGATAGCAACCCAGTAAATTGTTGAGAAAATTAAGTTCGGTTAAAATTTTTATAACTAAAAATTTGAAGAAATGAAAAAATCATAAGGATTTGAGCAGTCACTCTTGGACGCTAGATTTGCAGCTCTTGAGTGTACCTAGATAACATCCCACTATAGGGTTGAAAAATTCAAATTTAATTAAGTAAAAAGTGAAACAAAAAAACGGATAAGTTTACTTGCGAATACAGGAAAAAATCTAAAGAGTTTTAAAGCATTCGAGCTGCAATAGATTCATAGAATCAAGTCCTAAGTGTGATTCCGTCAATTCACCAGCCGTCAGGTCTTGATAGATATAGATTCGAAAGTTAGTGTCCTTAAAAGGTCAGAGAAGTGGTTTTTCTTGCGTAATTCAGCCTCAGTAGCACACTTACGTGTGAATTGAAACTTGAAACTGTGAAACTTGAAGGCCATAGGCTTGCCTTTGTTGGCTTTTATTTTTTTGCCATGGTTTTGCAGGAAGGTGAGCGAAGATCTACCGATGCCACCCAGTGTCTCGATGGCAATTGGTAAGAAAATTACCGTCGTGGGAAGGTCAGAGTAGTAGACTCGTTGCCATATTGTAAGAGTAACAACCAATGACGGAAAAGTAGCAACCCATGGCGTAAGATTAGCAACGTAAATTGGAGCTTGCTAACCTAGAAACACAATTAAAATCTCAAACCATGGTTCAACTTCTTTGCCATGGCGTAAGCGTGAGGCCGTTAGGTCTCCGGCCGTCCGACCTCAAAAGACCGCTGGGTTCCAAAGAGGAACTGAAACCTGCAGGTTTCAGTGAATCCTTGATGATGCTGTGGTAGTTATTGTGTCGAGTGAATCGGTACTTAATCTTCGGACACACCAGGGGGTGTTTTCCATCTGGAGACGCATTATAGCCGCATTTGCACTTGAACTGTGCAGTAACGGGGGCTCCAATGCGTAACCCAGCAATTCGTAACTCGTTGCTGACAGCGTGAGTACGAGATTGCGTGAGGGAAGAACGTTGTCCGCTCATCAGAACGAGCAGCCTGGC